AGAGAACAAGAAACAGGAAGCAAAAAGCACATTGTAGAGTAGGCTTAAAGATTAAAGGCTTAAGGCTTAAAGTTTGAGTCAGAGAGAGATCAAGAGAAAGAAACAGGAAACAAAGAACACATTGTGAATCAAGCTGTAAAGTTTGATATACAATGAGCTCTTTGCTTTATGTTAATTTCTGTTTATCTCTTTCTGATTTAAATCTTGATCTTGTAGTTAGAAGAAAATAAAGAATAAAAAACAAAAAGCGAAGAGTATATTGTAGATCAGGTTTAAGCCAGAAAAAGGCAAATAACAAGAAACAGGAAACAAATAGCATATTGTAGATTAGGCTTAAAGGATATAAGCGATACGAAGACAATTATTTCCCGACATATCGCGAGCGTGCCGCCAAGAAACAGTCACATTTCACACAATAACTGCATTTACCCGAGCAAAAATGTATCTAGTAGAGCAGATTTCAAGACTTGTAGCTAGATAGTAATGACTAGATAACTTTTCTAGCCAGTCACTAGCTCGTGACTGGCTAAATATTCCTATTCAGTTTTTTGAATGTCAGGACTATCTAGTATCTATATCAATTACATAGATAGTGGCTAGATGAAAAAGATTACATAGTAACGAGATAGAAAATCATCAGTAAATCCTAAATAAAAATTGGATATCAGAACTGTTTAGTACTTATACCGTTTATAATTACAAGTTACTTTTTTGTATCTAGCTATTAGATAATTTTTCTGGTACAGCCACTAGGAGAAATGAGCGTTACATTCCTAGCTAGTAGCGATGTAAGACCTAATTTTTCTGTGTTATTACTAGACAATCACTAGATTCAATTTCTGCTCGGGTAATAGAGAAAGTTGCTTTGCAACTTTTGTAAAATTCGTGAATCTAATTGGTACATATGTTCTCAGATTCAGTTAAAATTAAAAGCATACACCAATCGAACATACAAATTTTACAGCAAAATTGCTTTTTCTGCTGAACACAGCTATTTTCGATTAGATCTCGCGTTAACAGAGCTCGCCGCGCGTCCTGGTTTGCCAATAATTTCATTTTTTCATGGTTTTGTATGCTTGCGTCAGAAAGCTTGTATAATCATGAATTGCTAGCGGCGATTTTAAATATCTGCCAACAGCTATAGTGCCGCCAAAACTAAACAGTGACCATTATCTCCACTATTATCGCGCTTTTATTTCCGTTTTACCTGTTTGAAGGTTGGTTTGTTTGTGATTATGAATTGTAATACCATTATGTTATATGAGAACTGTACTTTTCAACATCATTTATCGCTGAAATATTTTTAAATCGTTATAAAAATATCTGCAATTCATTTATGAAAAGTTTGACAAATATCAGACTATCTCGTTTGCAATTAAGGAATTCTGACAATCTATATATAATGATAAAAGAATCATCAATTTGAATAATGTATCTATGTATAATATATCTATGTATAATATATCTATAATATTATAATATCAAACATTTTTCTTATATATCTTAATAATATTATACATATAATATTGTACGTAATCTATGATTACGAACAAAACTTTCCAATAGATTAAAATAGGAATAAAAAAATGATACTTTAGATAATGATGTTTAGGGCGCTACAGATGTTGACAAACATTTTACTGCAGAGAAAAGTAAGAGGTTTTGCATATGAATTGTCGCAATCATAGACATAAAACGTAAACTTTAATTAAAGAGCCGATATTTTGTTATAGTTTATGTATTCTAGAAGAAGAGAAAATCTGATACTGTTGGTAAATCTAATCATGCAACAGTAATGAAAAAGTAAATGAATTCATCCGATAAGAAGTATTGGTTCATAATTTTTTTGATCGGTTTATCTAATAAAATGCCACTATGATCGGAAATATCTGATAAAATTTAATCTGATATCCTGATCGGATATAAAAATTTATCGGAATTTGATCGGGAATATCTGTTTGTCAATTTTTTATCGGATAATTTCTCTCAGTGAAAGATTTATCTGCTTAAAATCCTAATTATATTCAGTCTGAATTCTGCTTATAGTCACGTCAATCTTCTTCTAACTAGAAGAATCCTAGCTAGAAACCCCGACTAATTTTTTAGCTCGAGTTTATGCGTTACGTCTACGATTACACGGAAAGAATATTGTAGTAAAAATTATAATACAATTTTAGTACTCCGAGAATAGAATGGCACTATAATGAAAATTATAACAAGATAGTAAGTGAACATAGTAAAAATTACCATAAATCTAGTACATGAACATAAAAAAATTATCATAAATATAATAAAAATTATCTCATGTTTATGGTCAGTTTTACTATGTTTTATTACAATTTTCATAATAGTGTTAGTCTACTAAAAAGTAATTACGAATTACTAAAATTGAATTATAATTTTTACTACAATATTCTTTCCGTGTACAGCAACCTATGTGCGAAAACTCTTAGCGGCTAGCAATCCATAGTGATATAGCCAAAGAACAAAACTGACTCTGATCCGATCAATTTCTCACAAAATGAGGCGATACCTATCGCACTGAGAAAAATATAGTTGCTTTCGGCGTCAACTATACTTTTTTGTGATTCTAACCAGAAAAATAATTAGAAGAACTATCCCATACAACACAACGTCTAAAATCGAGACATTAGACATCTTGAAGACGTCTTAAAGACATCTTAGGGACGTCTTACATTCCGACGTCTGAGAGTTGTCTTTAAGATGCCTTTCAGACGTCTTATGTCCCGATTTTAGACGTTGTGTTGTATGGAATCTTTCTAATAACACTTACTAAAACAATAATTCTTCTAATTATTTTTGTGGTTAAAATCACAAAAGCGTATAGTTGACGCCAAAGGCAACTATATTTTTCTCTCAATGCGCAAGCACTTATCTTCTTGTCATGAAAAAAAAGACATTTCTGCGAAATCGACCTTCGCTTCAATTCTCACGCCGTAATGATAATCGGAACGCAACGGATCACGACCAGGGATACGAATGTAATCGTGATTCGCCAACTAGTTCCGCAGTCAGCTCCGCCAAGGAATTAATAAGCACCATCGCGAAACCTCCGAGCCCTTTTTGCTCGCCATTATCCAAGATAAACGACGGCCTCTCTCGGCGCGATGGGACCACTCGGCGCGGATCGGCGAATAGGAGGCAAAACTTCCGAATCGCTCTTGCGTCGAATGAATTCTGCGGGGGCGGACGCTTCTTGCCTGCTGTTTGCGGGACTGCGTATTTCGCCGTTTTCTCAGATCACCGGAGCAAATGTTGACCCAGTTTCGCCGTCGGATTGGACGTTACTCTGTCTTTCGAAAGTGCTGACTGGAATACGCGATGAGCGAGAAGTTGGGGGCGCACACCGGACGGCACTTCTCTTCCCTCCGCGGTGGCGGAAGCTCTTGGGATCTCGCCGGACCGGGCCCGAAAACGAGAGATATCCGCTCGCGGCGATTCGCGCGGGCTCGCACTTATACTCACGAACGACGTGCTTCTCATCGGCGAGGTAGAGTCCGATAACGCCGGGACTTCACTTTTACGGACGGATGAAATTTACTCCGAAACACGGATGGATATATCTGACGTTTCATATCTGACTCGCGAAATGAAGCCAAATGTCACCTTTATTAACAATATTAAAGAAAAAACAGCGCGAGTTTTAGCCGAAACGAGAACGTCAACTTTTTCATTTCCAAATTGCACGGTTGTCTTCCGCGTAAAATTGTCAAAATTGTAAACTAAAGCTTGTTACAAAACTTTGTACAATTTTCATTAGCATCCAAAGTGTTACTGAACGTTATTCTCTATTGATGATATTAAAAAAAACTAAGGCGAATTTATCCATATCGAAAACCAATACGAGGAAAATGGAGTTAACTTCTCATTTCCAAATTGCACAGTTGTTTCGTCTAAACTTATCAAAATTGTAAACTAAAACTATTGCAAAACTTTATGTAATTTTCATTAGCATCCAAAGTGCTGAACTTCATCGATCTATTTACGATATTATATAAAAATAATGCCAGTTTTATCCGTATTAAAGATTCAGAAGTAAAAATGGGATAAACTTCTCATTTCCAAATTGCACCGTTGTTTCGCGTAAAATGAACAAAATTATGAATTAAAACTCTTAGAGAACTCGATATAATTTCCATTAACGTCTTACGCGTATGCCATGCGTAGATATTTCACGAAGTAAAGTCTGCAGCACTCTTAAAAGGGTTAAGGTAGTCGGGGGAACCGGCCGACTTGATTCACCTCGTTTCGCGAAGCTGCCTCTTATTACGCGTTGCTACACGAGCCCCTACGAAGTTTCTGTAAGCCCGCTAAGACACCGACCGGGGTCGCCTTCAACGCGGAGTCACCCGGCCGAATAAAGCCGCGGCTGAATGAGATATAACAGGGTACTTACCAACACTGGCGAGACGCCCGCACGTAAACCGCAAGTCGACGGTGCAGGAGATGAATAACGCCGGTGCACAGTGGATATGGCTTAATATAACTTTTTCCGTGTACTCCGTTCTTCTTACCGCCTTCTATCTCTTCTTCTCATTTCGCCTTTTCAGCATTGTGAGCAGGGAAACGGATACGCACTGGCGTTCTCGAATAGAGTAATTTGAACGCGCAACCACGTCAAATAATGAGATACATTATACTTCCCGAGCCAAAGTTCTATATAACACGTTCTCGAAGTGAGAGACGAGTATTGTGCAGCTTCTTTGTGATATATTTATTATAATTATTAATGGAACACTATACTTGTTTTTTAACAAATTCGCGGCACGTTTCTTTCCTTTCTCCTTTTAACTCCTTTTTTTTGAAATCCGTGAAGAGGTCTCGACGAGAATAACTGCGTGCTGAAAACAGACAAATACGTACCACGTTAACAGAATGTAGAGTCAAAAGCCGTCGACTAAAGCCTCGTGTAGATCGCTGCCTTCGGCAGCGAAACAAAAGCTTTCTACGAGCGAACTGGAGTGAACCGCGAATTCAAAATGGAGCTCAGTGCATGTGCGCTACGTCTTATCCACACTATTCTCATCGTGTTTCACGTATCGCTAACAAGAACTACCGCTACGCTTTCGCCATCGACGACCGAAGCCACTATTGTCGAGCTCACCGTCACTGACAGCACGACCGAGACAGATGATGAGATAAGAATGCCAGTAGTGGCCTTGACCGAGCAGGTTATGGATCACAACATACGAGTGACCGATCTCCCCGTCGTGGACGAGCCGACGGACGCGCCAGACCCTGACTGGGACAAAAATCGGGTGATCCGTGACGTCGCATACTTTATTCGCGCTCACAAGTTCCATGACTACGATCGTAGGTATTACAAGAACGTAGGGGAGGCCACGAGCAGGCTGTACGAGGAGTTCCCTAAGCCAGGACTGAGATCCGTACATTGGGAAGTGCGTAAGTACTGCGACGCGAGCTTCGCCGAGTGCCTGAAGTATCTCGAAAGGATCATTAAGCTGACGGCTCTCAGACGCGAGGACGACACCGTCATAGTCATGAGGGAGCAGAAGTGGAGGCCGGCGAACAATACCGAGCAGATTCTGGCCGCTCAAAGGGATTGCCAGATGGCCCAAAGGCGGGACAATCTCACTATGGTTCCCTTTCAGGGTCCAATCGGCAAGTGCATCGATTCGCCCGTCGACATTCCTAATCACGACGTCGGGACATTAAACCCGATTTACACATAGTAGCGGCTCGACCGACTCCAGCTCGTAGTCCCCGGTCATAGACTGAGTAATCGGACTACGCGATGGAGTTGAATGTGCAAAAGGCCATTCACTCGTCCGGGATTGTACGTTGCCTATTAGCGCGTGTAATCCAGCTTTTAACGTTACGGGCCATAAAGTCTAGCGAAGTATATATATACGTACGTTTAAAACGTTCATTTGTGCGTATGTGTGCCTTTATGAGCGTCTAAAGTAACTCGGCTATAACTGAAGGATAGTGTGATGAAACGATTACAAATATCGTAATAATACCTACAGATTTCAAATAATTTTTAAAAATTCGCGTCGAGCTGTGCTGGTATCTCGAAAATAGGTCAGAGAGGCGCGTTAGAGGATTTCAATTCGTCGTTCGTGAGATTTGTACGTCGCGAAGCGTGTCTCAATAACAACGAATAATTTATTCGCACAAAAGCGTTCGCCGTCATTAAGGGGATGCTGAAGTGAAAATTATCAATAACATAGAAGCAAAATTCGTCGCTAACACAATTCGCTATCCTTTTCGTATTTCTTGTACATTCGTAGTAGAAAAGATTGTCTGTTTTTTTTGTAAGTTTAGAAACTTATTCTTTTTATCCAATGGGAGAATTTATTTTGCAATAAAAGAGCTCTCTTATTGGACAAGACGGATAGATTCCAAAACTTACAAAAAAGAAACAAACAATTTTTTCGACCACGAGCGTATATACAAATCTTACAAAAATATGTGCTGCTTTGTTTTACATGTTGACAGAAAACATAGTCACATATAGAAACTCTTTTATAAACTTTTCTTATGCTTTTCTTCTACATTTAGTTATAAAGATACAGAAATGTTCCTTGAAATGTTCGTTAGCGGAGCAAGCACATGTACAGTACGTACAAGCTGCAGAATTTTTGTATCAAGTAAATATTTACGCTGACTAACAGCTCAAGATGTTAATTTTAAAATTTTGTTATTGCGCTCGTTACATAATGAATAATGGTGCAATTCATTATTGCACGTACTTGTAAAAGCATTTATAATTCTGGGCGACCAGCACGATATAAACTTTGCAGAAAAAAGTCAATTTTGTCGGTAAAGTTCTGAACTATGGTATCCCCTTAATATATATATATATATATATATATATATATATATATAT